CTAAGTAGGTGCTTTAGACCACTGAGCCATCTCACCAGCCCCATATGAATATATTATTATGATAAACACAAACATTTAAAATCTTGGAAACTCTAATACTTCTGTAAGTTGCTTGTGTCTATTTTTAGCCAGGCATGGTACTGTCCGGCATGGTAGTGCATGCCTATAATCCCACTAGGGAGGCTGAGGCAGGACTGCCGCAAGTGAATTCGAAGCCATTCTGGACTACATAGTGAGCTCTGTCTCAAAAAACAAACAAACAAACAAACGAACAAACAGAAAGAAAAAAGAAGTCTATTTTGTACTAATATTACAATTAGTCTAATGTTGATTCCAGTGCTTCTATTTCCGAAATAGGAGTTGGCGCATACTGCATGCCAGACAGTCTTTCCTTTTCAGATGGTCCTCACATGATCTTTGTATCACCGAAAGGTGTTACTGGTAAAATATCTTTGGTAGATGAGGAGTCTTTGAAGGATTATTTTTGAACTGCTTTATTTAATTTTGAAAACTACTAAATAAAGGATTCATTTTGTATAGTGTCAACTTATATAAGGTTATCAAATAATTTGAGAATCATTTCTTTGTATTCTAATTAATAAGCTGAGAAATAATGAAAGCTTTTTGCTATCCATCATCATCCTCGCCCCCCCTTTTCTCATGCTCATATATATATATTATTATTATTTTTTTTTTGGTGGTACCAGAGATCAAACTCAGGCCCTTGTGCTTGCCAGGCAAGCACTTATTCCACTGAGCTATCTCCCTGGCCCCCTATCCATCATTATTAACAGGTACAGGTAGTGGCCTCTAGTGCCTGATTTTATTCTAATTTGCAGGAAATAAACACAGTGAAAAAGGAATAGGCTGACCAGCATCTCTGGGCTGCGTTAGCAAAATCTCACCAACTCTTTAAGGCAACCACAGTATTGTTTTTAAAAAAGGAAGGGATTATAGATGAAAGAGATTTAAGAAACTTATCTACCTTTTCCATCGTAGAGTGCAAGTCCTGAGTTCTCCAACTCAGCCTCTTTGAGCCACCCTGGTGGGTAACCTAGCTGGCGCATCCGATAGATAAAAGGGGGAAGACTCTTGTCCGTCACCCCCAGTGCATCTTGAAGTTCCTCACTACATAAAAATAAGAGGAAAAATATATTGAATTCCCATTTGTATGGGAACATAGTGTTCTGCTGTTGAAAACACTTCAGTCTTATCTACATAGCACAGAACACGGTGCCTAGCACACACAGTGTTGGGATTTTGGTAACTGTTTTCGAGTGACTTGATGCATACTATGTAGGCCTGGCCGCAACACGCTTCCATCCTGACAACTATCCTGGAAAGACAGAACATTCCAAGCGCTAAGGAAGTGAACATGGCCTCCTACGGCAACACCAAGGCTGTACCTGATGACACCTGGCTTGAACCTTCCAAATCTTTCTTCGACTTCTTCTGCATGGTATCGCTGTTGAAAGTTCTGATTGTTTACCTCGCTGCAGGCATCCATATACTCTTTTCTCTTTTCACTTATTCGAGCAGCATTCCGGGGCTAAATCATAATAATGCATTGAGAAAGAATGGTGTTAAGCAATTTAGAGACATCTCAGAAATTAAAAAAGGGCTGGTGAGATGGCTCAGTGGTCTAAAGCACCTACTTAGAACAAGTTCAGCAAAGCACAGGGACCGCAGTTCGATCCCCCAGCACCACATGCCAGCCAGCCCCGCCCCCTGGTGGGCTGAGCTGGCCACACACACACACACACACACACACATAAATAAAATTTAAAAAAAAAAAAGAAATTAAAAATAATCTCTTCTCTTTTAGGCAAGTGAACTGCGTTAGTTTGCTGTTCTTCCTTTTTCTGTTTTAGTTTCAACAGCCCACATAAGAGGAAATAGATATTTTTGAAAAGTGAACATGAGAATAGTCGCTTTAATTTCCTCAATTTTTTTTGTTTTCTTTGTTTCTTTTGTTTTTTGAGACAAGGTCATGCTATGTAGTTCAGGGTGGGCCTGAACTCACGGTTTAGTCCAGCCTGGCCTCCAGCTCCTGGTGATGCTCCTGCCTCAGCCTCCTGAGTGCTAAGACTAAGGCTTGAGCCACCACCCTTGCCTTTCAATTTCCTGAATTTCATTTCAGTGTTATAATTTAAAATCAAATTTTTAGAATAAGCTGCATAAACATTAAATCATGATGTTTTCATTCATTTCAAATACAGATAGTACTGTAAACAAATTATTATTTTAAAAAATCTAATGTCAGGGCTGGCAAAATAGCTCAGAGGTCTAAAGCACCTGCTTAGGCAGACTTAGGCAAAGCACAGAGACCGCGGTTCGATCCCCAGTGCCACGTGCCATGCCAGCCCCACCCCAGGGTGGGCTGAACTGCCCCCCCCCAAAGAAGTCTAATGTCTTACAATAATACAAATTTGCAAAGATTTCAAGCTAAAGGACTTCAGGTGAGTAACATAAGAAATTTCTTCACATCACATAATTTTGTAAATGGGTAAAAGACAAGTTCAAAGACTTTATATAAGAGAAATTTACCATTGGGCAGTCTTTCATTTGATGTTCTTCAGAACCACAATTGAAACAGTGAGGCTTTGGCCTATGTAGTCAAAAAAGAAAGATTTTCACAATGTAAATGAAAGCATGAAGACAAATCTATAAATTCTAGATGACAGCAAAGTATCAGAGAGACAAGAAAGCAAGATCACAGGTCATTCTTATCCCCAACAATGTACACAGACATGTCCCACACTCAGTGATTTACGAACAGCGCTGTGCGGTCTTTTAACCAAGAACCATTCTGTTCCTGACTGATCTGCTACCTCTTGTGAGCGTCTCAGGGATTAAGAACAGAACTGTGCGCACAGCTCACGTTTCCTCCGGGTAACATGGACAGAAGGCAGCTGGCTAGAAGACAGCAGTCACACAGACGGCAGCGCTCAGCACTCCACCCCCAGGCGAGTTAGGTGCGGACCAGGGATTCCCGAGAAACAGATGACTGGCTTCAGCCCGAAACATAGGTCCAGATGCTGGCATTTCAGCTCAGTCGCAATTTACTTTAGTAAACTAGCAATAAAGAATATTTTTTAAGCTAAAGGAGTTTATGCTTTTGGGTATTAAAAAGAACAAAAACAATAAAATGAAACAACTCCCCACACAAACCTTTTTGCCTTTACTTGTATCTCTTGCCCTTCTAGAGAAACAATGTGGCTGAAGACTTGCTGGTACCTTTAGTGAGTTTTATTAAGGAATAGTTATCATAGTCTGCAAAATTTGGTAAACTGTTTTAAAAGGTGAACTTAGTGGCAAGATGCATAAAAGATCTTCATTCACTATGTAGGATACTTGGGTATTTCCCATCCTTCGGTAAGCTGAGGGTTTTCATTTAGAAGCGGTTGCCCCAATTTATCAAGGCAAAAATTAGTAAAATACAGGACACTTCCTACAACCTGCAGAAAACAAGTCGAAAAATATTGCTATTTAAGCAGGAAAAAAAAGACATTAATTAATGTAAGACTATGATTACTTGTTTTATCAACTTATTTTTGGATGAAATTATCAGAAATAATAATCAACTCCCTAGTTAAAGGAGCTAGATTTTATCATGTAAGTAAAAGCTACAACTGAGCTTTCCTTCTGTGCCGGATCATTACCACCAACTGCATTCCCAAAAAACTGAAATCTTAGTATTCCATTTCTTTGTAATAAGACCCTCAACATCTATGTTTATTGTTTACATTTTTTGTGCTTCTGTTTACCTTTTTATTTTCTCTTCAAATTTTTGGAGAAATTGTATACAGACAAATCAGAAAAATAGTACAGTAAATAAATACTCCAGCACCTTTTATCTAGATTTGACAACTGTTAATTTGTCACATTTCTGCACATATCCCTCTCACCACAAATGAACTGTCAGCATTTAGAAGTGAGCTGTAGACATTTCATCCCTAAATACTTCAGTATAAGCCTCATAACAGTAAGAACATTCTTTTACAAACTGCAATTGCACTGCCACACCTATACAAATCAGAAACTTTCTGGCATCATCTTTATCTAATCCCTATTATTTTCTCCAACTGTCCCCTAAATGCCCTGTATAGATTATTCTAGGATATGATTAAGGTTCCATTTTTAGTAATCCCTCCAGCTTTGTGGCACTGGGGATTGAACTCAGGGTCTCATGAATTCTAGGCAAGTGCTCTAGTACTGAGCTATACCCTAGCCTTATTTTCTCTTATTCTGATCCAGGTCTTTACATTGAGTGATATCCCCAATCTTTCTCCCCTTTTATTTATTTTGAGACAAGGTCTCACTACATGGCTGAACTGACCAGGCTGAGCTTGAACTTGCAATTCTCCTGCCTCCGCACCTCAGAGTGCTGAGATTACAGGCGTGCATAACCATGCCTGGCTCTCTGCCCTTTTATTTTGAAATATGGCCACATTAAATTACCCAGGTTGGCCTGAAACTTAAGATTCTCCCGCCAGCTCTTGAGCAGCTGTGACTACAGGCCCATGCCACCGCATCTAATTCTTTCTAGGCTTTCATCTAGAGCATCTTTTTGGTTTTTTTGAGACAGGGTCTCACTATGCATTCCAGGCTGGCCTTGAGCTCACTTTGTAAAGACAGTATCGCCATTCTCTCCACGGTGTCTCTATCAAGGCTGTCACTAACCTAGCTGCCAAGGAGCTCAGCAAGGACTCCATGTAGCCACATTCAATGAACAGCGACCTATCTTCATCTCAGCCTGTCAGGTTTCACGAAGCTGCCCAGGCTAGGCTTAAACTTGTGATCCTTCTGCCAGTCTCAGTGTGCTGGAATTATAGGCATGCGTGACAATGCCCAACCAAGCCCTACGTCATTCAACCTCTCTCCTGGTCTCATATTCTACAGCCAACTCATCACACATTTGAGCAGCTTTCCTGTCCAACCACTTGCAAGTTCTGCCTACACCGCCTCATCACCATTGCTATCACCCTGGTCTCGGCTGTCACTTTCTCTCACCTGAGACTGACACAACAGTGTCCTAATTGGTTTACATTTTCTATACATAACCAGCTACTGACTACTTTCCACACAGAATCCAGTTCTTGTCAACACTGAGGTCATACTAGGAGTGGTGGTGCACACCACCACTCCTAGGTGTAATCCCAGCACCCAGGAGGCTGAGGTAGAAGCATCCCCATGAATTTGAGGCCACCCTGAACTATACAGTGAGACCCTATCGCAAAACAACAACAAAAACATTCAAATAAGCACTTGCCTGGCAAGCGCCAGGTCCTGAGTTCAATCCCTGGTACCGCAAACAAACAAACAAAAACAAATTGTTGATTTGAGCTTTTTAGGGGCTGGGGAGATAGCTCAATAGAATAAGCGCTTGCCTGGCAAGCACATGGGCCTGAGTTCAACTCCTGGTTTCACAAAAAAAAAACAAAAACGAAAAAAAACCCACAAAAAACCATTCAAGTCAGAGCATGTCACATTTCTACTTAAAACCTTCCAATGGCTTCTTCCCCTACTCAGAGTAAAACCCACTATGCAGACACCCACACTACATAGAAGCCCAGAAGGCTCTGGAGCCTGCAGGCCTGGCTTTACGCCTGGGGTCTGCACTTGCCCACTAGCCGGTGTCTTAGCTCTGTGTTTTCCGCTAGGGATGCTACCAGCAGCAACTCTGTCAGGAGGACATGAAGATGGACCCAGCACTCCATACCAGTCACTCCATGCAGAAAGGGTGTGAGCGCAAGCACCTGCCTCTGGCTTCCGCCCCCTGCTGCTGCCTGAAGTGCTCCCCACTCACACCGCAGCCTCAGCTCCCTCTTCAGTCCTCCAGTCCTGGCTCCAATGCTGACTGACACCACACTCACAGCACGACCCACCCAGCACAGGCATGCTCTCTCCCTCCTTCCCCTGCTGCACTTTACTTTTGAAGGAACTGTCTTCTCCCACTAGATTGTAATTAAATGATAGCTAGGGTCTTGTCCCTTTTCTTCATTGCTGTGGCCCTCAAACTTAGGATGATCCCTTGCACAAAACAGTAACCACTGGGGCCAGGGAGATTGCTCAGGAGAAAAAGTGCAAGGGTCTGAGTTCAATCCCCGGTTCCGCCAAAAACAAAAACAGAGACAAAAGTAACCATTAAATGATTAGCAGTGTGAGAGGACTGAGTATATAAAGTTCCCAATTTCTCTGTGTATGTCACTTTAAATACCTAGACTTTAAAAGTTAGAAGAGAGAGGGCAGGTCAAATAACTCAGCGGATTAAAGGGCCTACAAACTGGCACAGGGGCCAGGGTTTAATCCCTGGGCCTGCCATGCTGGCCCTGCCCCTAGGCCATGCTGAGATGGTAATTGAAACTGGGTGTGGTGGTGCCCACCTGTAATCCCAGCACTTTGGGAGGCTGTAAACAGCAGAATCACTAGGAGTCTGATTGCATAGTGAACCCCTGAATGCCCTGTAGACCTTTCTCTAAAATACAGAAGGGAAAAAAAAAGTAATAATAGGGGCCAGGGAGATGGTTCAGCGGAATAAGCGCTTCCCAGGCAAGCGCAAGGGCCTGAGTTCAATCCCCAGTTCTGCCAAAAAAAAAAAAAAAAAGTAATAATAATAATAATAAATAAAGTTGGAAGAGAAATTCAGGGTCATGATAGTATTTTGGCCTGTAAGTTCCAGGAACATGGAATTTACTTTTTGAAAATAAGCCATACTCCTTCATTTTTATTTACTTATTTATTTTTGAGACAGGGTCTCACTGTGTAGCTCAAGGTGACTTTGAACTCATGTACGTGGCACAGGCTGGCCTGGAACTCACAGGGATCCTCCTGTGATACACCACCATGCCCAGCACTACTTCTTTTTTTTTTTTGCGGAACCGGGGATTGAACTCAGGCCCTTGTGCTTGCTAGGGAAGTGCTTATTCCACTGAGCCATCTCCTTGGCTCCAACTACTTCATTTTTAGAAATGTAATTTTTTTTCTCCCAGTGCCAGGCACTGCAGGACCTCATATGTGCCAGGCAAGTGATGTACCATGAAGCTACATTCTCAGGGCAGCTTTCTAAAAGATGAGTTGAGATGTACCTGCTTGTGTTCAACTCAACTGTAGACCCTACACTTGGCACTGTAAAGGGTGAACTCTAATAATGTCTTATTTGGAGAAATGAAAAATTTCTCATAAATGTTTTCAAAAAAAGTTTGTGGCTGCTCACAATCCAGAGCTCCATGTCTTTAAATCTGAGATACACTGATAGTGAATAATATCCCCAAAACTTAAAAACTAGTTCTCCTTTAATAGATTCCAGGACTATAGCGCCTTTGTAAAACTACAAGCTGCAAAAGCATACATACACTGTATCGAGAGGGCCTGCACGGCCCTGAAAGGCTGCACCGCACGTCACGCCCGCGAAGCCCCTGCTTTTCACCCGCTAGCTGAGGAGGCCGATACGTTAAATCTCAAACTTGTCATCTCTACAGCACTGCCTCTGTTTCATCTATCTGAAAGTCCAACAAGTATGGTTTCTATATTTTTATTTGAGCTCTTGAAAAGAGACACGAGGAGCTGGTTAGGACAGAAATAAGAATGTTGAGAGTGCCCCTACCTCACACCCAGTAATTATTAAAAAGTGAACAATATTTAGAGGCTGAAGTCTATGCTGTTGTTCCTAACAAACGAATGCTGAGATCGTGAAAACTCATGACTATGCCACCTTATCATTTAAATGCCACCCAACTGATAAAAGAACTGGAATCCTGCATCTGTAGAATTCAAAAATAAAATGTCCAAACTTACACTAAAAGCTTCCTTGCTGTTTCTTATGGTACAGGATTCTTCTACTTTATGGTCTTCCTCTAACATGACACTGGATGGCTACGGCAGAGAGGGACATTCATTACAAAGAGAAAACAGAAATGTACATTACAAACAACTTTTATTTTCTGATACACTCCATTAAGGTACATAGCCTTGTCATACAGGTGAATTAAGAAGTTAA